TGAGATAATATGTTTGATGCTTTAAGGTGTAAAAATTCTGTGCTCACAACCAAAAACTTGTCTAAGTTCTTAAAGATATAAAACTTCTTTTTTATATAAAAATGTGGTTCTTTTCACTAGTGCCTTAGAGCTGACACTTGCCAAGGTTAAGAATTGCATTCCACCAAAAAAAGCACAAAGAAACAAACATTTGGTGGTGTTCATATGGACACTATATGTAACATCAGCAATGACTCCTCAGAGTCTCTTGAGTCCCATGGTGATATACTTGGCCAACAGATCCTGACGACAGCAGGCTGCTTGAAGTGAGTTTTGATGAGTCTGTGAGGCCTGTCACTGTAGCTCTCCTACCCTATCTATTATAGTTGGCTACCATTTGGTATTATGTGGGAAAGTCTACTGGCCACAGACTGCTGTATCATTGTACCAGGGCACTTCTCTGCTGCTCTAAAAATTCTCATGCACCTTTGTTCTGGAAAGGAAGTATAATCACCAATTACAATCACAAAATAAAATCACCAAAATGTTCCAAGTGAAATGCCAGTTTTACTATATGAAATATTTTAATTACCAATTTATCATCAAAGTTTTGAGAATTTTGTGAAAATTTCTTTATTTGATGTAATCTGACACTGCCACACAGGACTGGTGGTATACAGTTCCACCCATTCCCCAGAGATAAAGAATATGAAACCCAAACTCAAAGCATTCACATTCAGTGATTGTCAACGATTCACTGTTACATAAAAGCGACTTTAAATTACATGGGATATATACCAAGTGCCCAAGAAATATGGTGCAGTGGAGGAGAGTCTCCATCATACTCCCACTGTTGCATTTCTATTATTGTAAAATATATTCTGCAGTCCCAATATCTGGGACATATTCCAGTGAAAGACTAGTGGCCACATTTAGCTGATATGCTTATAAACCTATGATATACCGGCTGGTAACTGCTGAATGATGAGCTAGCCTTTTGGGTAAAGAGTGGCAGCCACCTCTGTTTTGAGATTTGAGGTCTCCAGGAAATCCTTAATATCAAAAACTATCTTTCTGACTTAAAGACCTCAACCTCTGGGAACCCACCCTCTAGAACATTTTAGAGGGTTGGAAAATATTTTCCCCAAATGCACATATTTTATTATCCCATACTAAAAAGATAATTATTTATCAGAACTAAACTTTTAAGTTGAGACTTCAGACACCATGGCCTGAAACAGGAGAGACAGTCATAAAAGAGGGAACTAGTAAAGAAATGGCGAGTACTGAAAAGAACTTGCCTGTTTTCCAAGCTGAGTAGTTTCCTGGCCCACAAAGGTATTTTGGCAGACCAGCATGCTTCTTTGATCTCAAAGGTGGCAGAAAAGGAAAGTTGGCACTAGAGATGAGACAGAACCATGGGAAAACCTGGCAGTAATAGATACTCTTTCATAGGAAGTATCAACTGAGAAGACAGAAAACTGTAATAGAAAGGGAGACAAATAGATTACATTGCTGAACTTCAGAAGCTACATGTTAACTTTTTAAGTACATTAATTACATTATTCCGCTCAACAATGTAAGAGAGATGGCATTAGCCCTACTTCATTGGAAATTTTTTTAAAAAGAAGAAAAATAGCTTAGAGATATTTTCCATTGTTATGTAGTTAGAAAATTAGGTAGTAGGCAATTAAACTGATTCTAATTCCAAGTTCTTTCAATATAATAACTTACCTTTAATGTAATAGTTTTCTTATTCTATTTAATATAGAAACAATAGGTTCAACAATTATAGCCCAGGGTGCCTATGATGGATAATATTAAGTGTCAACTTGATTGAATCAAAGGATGCAAAGTATTGTTCCTGGGTATGTCTGTGAGGGTGCTGCCAAAGGAGATAAACATTTGAGTCAGTGGACTAGGAGAGGCAGACCCACCTGCAATCTGGGTGGGCACCATCTAATCAGCTGCCAGTGCAGCTAGAAAAAAGCAGGCAGAGGAACTTGAAGACTAGACTGGCTGAGTCTTCCAGCCTCCGTCTTTCTCCCATACTGCATGCTTTCTGCCCTCAAACATCAGACTCCAAGTTCTTCAGCCTTTGCACTCTTGGACTTACAGCAGTGGTTTGCCAGGGGCTCTCAGGCCTTTGGCCACAGACTGAAGCCTGCACTGTTGGCTTCCCTACTTTTGAGGTTTTGGGACTTGGACTGGCTTCCTTGCTTCTCAGTATGCAAATGGCCTATTATGGGACTTCACCTTGTGATTGTGTGAGTCAATACTCCTTAATAAATTCCTCTATATATATATATATATACACACACACACACACACACTAATAGGATATATATATATGAACTAATAGGATATATATATATATGAACTAATAGGAGATATATATATAGAGAGAGAGAACCCTAATACTGATTTTGGTACCAGAAGTGAGGTATTAGTCCATTCTCATGCTGCTATAAAGAACTACCCAAGACTGAGTAAATTATGAAGGAAAGAGGTTTAATTGACTCACAGCTCCACGAGGCTGGGGAGGCCTCAGGAAACTTAAGACTGTGGAATTCAACTTAAGACTGTAGAAGGGGAATGTCTTAAGTCCCCTTCAACTTAAGACTGTAGAAGGGGAATGTGATGGTTAATACTGAATGTCAACTTGATTGAAGAATGCAATGTATTGATCCTGTGTGTGTCTGTGAGGGTGTGCCCAAAGGAGATTAACATTTGAGTCAGTGGGCTGGGGAAGGCAGACCCACCCTTAATCTGGGTGGGCACCATCTAATCAGCTACCAGTGCTGCCAAAACATAAAGCAGACAGAAAAAAAAAAATGTGAAAAGGCTAGACTGGCTTAGCCTCCCAGCCTACATCTTTCTCCCATGCTGGATGCTTCCTGACCTCAAGCATCGGACTCCAAGTTCTTCGACTTCGGGACTCAAACTGGCTTCCTTGCTTCTCAGTTTGCAAATGGACTATTGTGGGAGCTTGTGATCGTGTGAGTTAATACTACTTAATAGACTCTCATATATACATATATATCCTATTAGTACTTTTCCTCTAGAGAACCCTGATTAATACAGCTTTTGGTATTGGGAGTGGTTCTAGAGGAACAGGATATTAAGGATGGAGTTCTTTCATTGGTTTTGGGGTTTCTGGAGTTGGCTGCTTAATATGATTAGATCAAAATATGCTAAGGACTCTACTTCTAATAGTACAGAGAACACTGATAGTCCTTGGCATGAACTGTTTAGAGAGTTATGCAAAATAAATGAATTTGACACTCCTGATTCACTTCTCATGAGAGGCAAGGGTATCAGTGACTCTACACACAATAACTTTGACTTATGTGGAGAACCAAGGAATATAATGAAGTTGGTTGATTGCTCCTAAATTCACTGGGACCAAAGTGATGAAAGAAAATGATTAACTCGGATTCTAACTCCCAGCTTCAGAGGCAGATACTGAGCTTCAAATCTGCTAAGATTGCCCTGAGGGAGAGTCTTATCTCCTGTAGAGAAAGAGCTGAAATTGTGGAAGAACAGACACAAGCTCTTATTATGCAAGTGGCTGACCTGCAATGAAAGGTGCATGCACAGCCTCACCAGGTATCTACTGTTTTAAGTGAGGGTGTTGACTGGAAAAGAATTGGACCCTGCAACTTGGAATGGGGATGACGCAGGAGCACCCTGATAAAACTGGGGACACTGAGCTTGTAAACTCTGATAAGCCCTTTTTTCCCAGAAGAAGCAGCTTCCCCATCCCCAGTAGTGGCAACATCCTCTCCCCAACCCATGCTGCCATCAGCCTTTCCACCTTTGTCTGAGAAGATAAACCCTGTCCTGCGTGAGGCAACAGTGATGGCCTCCCCTGAGGCAGTTGCCAGGCAAGATAATGTTTATTCTCCTAAGGAACCACCCTCAACACACCTATTTGCTTCTAGATCTATAACTAAAGTCCCAGCAGGCCCCTAGAGGTCAAGTTCAGAGTGTGACCCATGAGGGTCACACTCTACAGTTGAAAAGAACTGCTTGAGTTTTCTAATTAATATAATCAGAAATCTGGAGAACAGGCATGAGAATGGATATTAAGGATGTGGGCTAATAGTGGAAAAACATAGAGTTAGATCAGACTGAATTTACTGATTTGGGCCCACTAAGTAAGGACTCTGCTTTTAATGTTGCAGCTCAGAGAGTTAAAAAATGTTCTAATAGTTTATTTGCTTGCTTAGCTGAAATATGGATTAAAAGATGGCCCACTGTGAGCAAGCTGGAAATGCCTCATCTCCCTTGGTTTAATGTAGAGAAAGGAATCCAAAGGCTTAAGGAGGTTGGAAATGGTGGAGTGGATTATTCATTTTAGACCTATTTGTCCCAGCTGGGAGGGTTCGGAAGATATACCCTTGACCAGTGCTTTGCAAAATAGGTTTGTGAAGGCAACACCCGCATCTATGAAGAACTCTGTACTTGCTCTTCTCTACATGTCAGATCTAACAGTGGCAACTGCAGTCCTTCACAACTAAATTTAAATACAATGGGAATGATTGGATCCCAAGTCTGGCAGGGACCAAGTGGCGGCACTCAGCCATCAAAGATAAGGTGGGCATAGCTACCATAATGGACATCAGAGGCAAAGCAGCAATCAGAATAGTCTGACTCATGTAGAGCGCTGGCATTGACTAATTAATCACGGTGTTCCCAGAAGTGAAATTGATAGGAAGCCTACTGCATTCCTACTGAATTTATATAAGGAGAAATCTTCCTGGTCAAATGGACAAAAGACTAATTAGAATCATAAAAACAGAGAATTATGTCCCCTCAATCAATTTCTAGACTTGAGCCAGTTTACAGACCCAGAACCTCTTGAACAAAGGGGAGGTCGGGTCCCCTTAAAGAAGGACCCCATTACACTACCGACAACTTATGCCATTAATCTTTCTCCCATCCTTCCCCAAGCAGACCTCCAGCCTTTTACCCAGGTAATTGTGCATTGGGGAAACAGAAATGATCAGACATTTCGGGGACTACTGAACACTGGCTCTGAGCTGACATTGATTCCAGAGGACCCAAAATGTCATTGCGGTCCTCCAGTTAAAGTAGGGGCTTATGGAGATCAGGTAATTAATGGAGTTTTAGCTCAGGTCTGGCTTACAGTGAGTCCAGTGGGTCCCCAGACTCATCCTGTGGTCATTTTTCCAGTGCCAGAATACATAATTGGCACAGACATACTTAGCAGCTGGCAGAACCCCCATATTAGCTCCCTCACTGGTAGGGTGAGGGCTACTATGGTAGGAAAAGCCAAATGGAAGCCATTAGAGCTGCTTCCATTATTTTCTACCTAGAAAAATAGTAAATTAAAAACAATATCGCACCCCTGGAGGGATTGCAGAGATTAGTGTCACCATCAAGGACTTGAAAGATTTCTACCACTTCCCCATTCAACTCTCCCATTTTGCCTTTGCAGAAGACAGATGGATCTTGGAGAACGCCAGTGGATTATTATAAGCTTAACCAAGTGGTGACTCCAATTGCAGCTGCTGTACCATATGTGGTTTCATTGCTTGAGCAAATTAACACATCTCTTGGTACCCAGTATGCAGCCATTGACTTGGAAAATGCCTTTTTCTCCATTCCTGTACATAAGGCCCACCAGAAGCAATTTGCCTTCAGCTGGCAAGGCCTGCAATATACCTTGACTGTCCTACCTTTGGGATGCATCAACTCTCCGGCTTTGTGTAATAATCTTATTTGGAGAAAACTTGATCGCTTTTCACTTCTGCGAGATATCACAGTGGTCCATTACATTGATGATATTATGCTGATTGAATCCAGTGAGTAAGAAGTAGCAAACACACGGGACTTATTGGTGAGACATTTGCATGCCAGAGGATGAGAAATAAATTCGATTAAAATTCAGGGACTTTCTACCTCACTAAAATTTCCAGGGGTTCAGAGGTGTGGGGCCTGTCAAAATATTCCTTCTAAGGTGAAGGATAAGTTGCTGCATTTGGCCCCTCCTACAGCCAAGAGAGAGGCGCAATGCCTAGTGGGCCTGTTTGGATCTTGGAGGCAACACATTCCTCATTTGGATGTGTTACTCCAGCCCATTTATCAAGTGACCCGAAAGGATGCCAGTTTTGAGTAGGGTCCAGAACAGGAGAAGGCTCTGCAACAGGTCCAGGCTGCTTTGCAGGCTACTCTGCCATTTGGGCCATATGACCCAGCAGATTCAATGGTGCTTGAGGTGTCAGTGGCAGATAGGGCTGCTGTTTGGAGCCTTTGGCAGGCCCCCATAGGTGAATCACAGTAAAGACTTCTAGGATTTTGGAGCAAGGCTCTGCCATCTTCTGCAAATAACTACTCTCCTTTTGAGAGACAACTCTTGGCCTGCTGCTGGGCTTTGCTGGAGACCGAATGTTTGACTATGGGCCATCAAGTCACCATGTGACCTGAACTGCCTCTCATGAACTGGGTGCTTTAT